CTGCTGGAGGAAGGTTCTTCACATGGACAAGAAACATCATTTTGAATCTCTCATAAAAAGAGTCGATGCAACTGATCACATGATTATAAATATGTTGTTCTGAATTACGAGGAGTAAACTACTTGCTCTTTATTGTTCAACTGCGTGGTCTATTTTCATTTCTCTGGCAAGACAGTATGTGGACTGGTCAAACGTGAACTACGCATGATTTTCATTTTGTCATAAGTTGCTCTCCAGTAGCATCTGAGCAGGCTCACGTTGCCTGCCAAAAGAAGCATGGACACGGATGCACACACTCCAAAAGGCATGGGAGTCCCCCATGCGCTCCTCACCGGTCAGCATGCCTTCGTTGACGGTGCACTGACCACTGATGAGGATGGCATCGCAGGGCAAGAGGCTCCGGCCCGCTCCCAGCACCAGCAAGTCCCCAGGCACCAAGCCCCGCGACTCCAGCTCCTGGGCGCCTGTTGAGCAGAAGGAAGCCAAGAACAACGAGATTGGACATACAGACATACAGAATCTATGTCAGTAGTTCTCAACCTTCCTAATGCTGTGACCCCTTAATACGCTTCCTCATGTGATGGTGACCCCCAACCATAACATTAGTTTCATTGCTACTTCATAACTGTCATTTTGCTCCTGTAATGAATCGTAATGTAAATATCTGATATGCAGGATGTATTCTCATTCACTGGACCAAATTGGGCACAAAGACCCAATACGCTCAAATTTAAATTATGGTGGGATTGAGGGTGGGTATTGATTTTGTCCTGTGGGAGTTGTCGTTGCTGGGATGTATAGTTCACCTACAATCAAAGTGCATTCTGAACTCCACCAATGATGGAATTGAATCAAACTTGGCACACAGAACTCCCACGACCAGGCGAAAATACTGGAAGGGTTTGGTGGGCACTGACCTTGAGTTTTGGGAGTTGTAGTTCACCTACATCCAGAGAGCACTGTAGACTCAAACAATGATGGATCTGGACCAAACTTGGCACAAATTCTCAATATGCCCAAACGTGAAGGGGATATTCTCCTGACGTATTGCCTGTATCTATGGCAAGCATCCTCAGAAGTAAACAGTCCTTCATGAGGACTAGAAACTTGTCAGGCTTCTTAAAAACAAGGATTCCCAGGGCAGTGGTTTCCTTGGACTGAGCTAGACCAAGAAGCAATACCAACGATGGAATGGAACCAAACTTGGCACACAGTTCTCCCATGACCAACAGAAAATACTGGAAGGGTTTGGTGGGCAGTGTCCTTTGGTTTTGGAGTTGTAGTTCACCTACATGCAGAAATCACTATGGAATCAAACAATGATGGATCTGGACCAAACTCTACAAGAATACTCAATATTCCCAGATGTGAACACTGGTGGAGTTTGGGGAAAATACAATCTCGACATTTGGGAGTTGTACTTGCTGGGATTTATAGTTCACCTACAATCACAGAGCATTCTGAACCCTGCCAACGATTGAATTGGGCCAAACTTCCCACACAGAACCCCCATGTGGGCCACAGCAACGCGTGGCACGGGACGGCTAGTCTTCAATAAAAAAAGGATTGTTTTCCTACTCAGCGTGTGGTGTTTGAAAGTCAGAGGTTTTTTCCTGTTCTGGAGTGCAACAGGAACCATATTGCACTGCTGCAACTGTGCCATAAATCACACCTCTGCTAAGNAGTTCCTTGTTGTTGCATTCTGCATGGTGGACACAACCCGAAATGTGCCCCCCCCCCATCCTCAGAAAACAAAGCCCTGAACAACAATGCTAATGATATTAATGCCTCCTGCATCTTGAAAGCAGTCCTGGAGGACCTTTGTTCTCACCTGTCTCTTTGCCACAGACTGTGACCCGGACGCTGTTGTGGGATTCCACCAGGCGATGCAGCTTCACCGATTGCTAGGAAGAGGGAAAGAAAGGCACGGGTCAATGGGGCAAATGAGGCCCATCAGATGTTGGGGCGCCAAGAAGAGCACCCCTACTCATCAAAGCATGCTTCTGCTGTGCAGTTATAACTGTTCCATACTATTTTAGTGACCACTGTAACTACAGCCTAAGAAAGACTGTATCCTAGAGCTGGAAGGGATTTCCGAGGGCCATCCAGTCCTACCTTCTTCCAACAGCGCTGGAAGGGATTCTCAAAGGTCATCTAGTCGGCCCCCTTGTGTAAAGCCCGCCTTGATTACTGCA